AATAGATATACGAACCAGAACTCTGAGGGCAGCTTCATTAAGCTGCCGACGGCGGCAAACACCTCCCCCGGAACCTTCATTTTTCCAGCCTTTCATAAAGTACTTATTGTCTTATTCCTGATCAAACAGATTATTTTTGCAATTTCCACAAGTTCCACCATCTTCACAACCTACTCCTCCATTGCGGATATTACAGTATTTTTCCAACTTTGTGCAGAATAGTCTTGCTACAGTTACCATATATAAAATCAATCTTCCATTAGTCTTTTCTAAGTTGTTACCCATAAATCCCAATTTAAACAAATTCTAGTTTCATTTGAATATTGGTTTTTAAAATTGTTAGTATCATTATATGTATTTGTATCCAATTGTTTTTGGTTTTTGCAAGGTCAGCATAGACTAGCAATAGCACTTAGACTTATGTACCACTTCACAATGCTTTGCTGCCCTCTCTAAGCAGTTTATAGAGTCAGCATATTGCCCCTAATAATCTGGGTCCTCATTTTACTAACCTCGAAAGGATGGAAGGCTGAGTCAACCTTGAGCCGGTGAGGATCGAACTCCTGGCAGTGAGCTGAATTAACCTGCAATACTGCATTCTAAGCACTGCACCATCACTGCTCTTCAGTTTACCCATGCATGGTAACCTGTCCCTTCATATTTTTCTCTCCCATTGTCCCATGTGATATAGCACATTGCTATACATTATAACCCAAATTTCTAACCCATTTTATCATACACTTAATGCTTTTAACTATCACATTAAATTTAAAAATTAAATTTAAACAACCCTTATTCCCATGAAGGGATATATTATTTATTAAATTAATCCAAAAGTACTTTAGAATAAATAATATTACTTTCAGCTCCTCCATTTATCTGTTTTAAACTTTCTTAGTTCAATTTCTTGGTAAGCTTTTTTGCTTTTAATTATTTTTAAATCCTTATAATTATTTCTCCACTTTTTACATTAAGCCAGGTCAAATGATACTTACCATGTGGTTTGATTGCTCTGCTGCTTGAAGGCTCTGTAACTCATATCTTTGCAAGTTTTAAAATGTAATCCAAACATGCATTGAAAATATAGCTTTACAAATAAAGGAGGGTTAAGAATAACAACGTATATATAGATATGGGTATAACATAAGGAAACTGGATGTAAATTTTAAACAGTGATTTGGAAAGGAGGATTAGAAAACTTTGTTATTAAATAGTATGGATGTTTAGCTAGAATAGGACATAAGGATTTAGTGTTAGTGTAGGATTTTAGAAATAGTAATTGAAAGGCCAGTATGTGGTTATGTATTAAATTTTGGTATATTTTATGATGAAGGATGCTTAAACAATTATAGTCAAATGAAAATGGAGATATGATGATGACATGTATAAATATTTGAGTTAAAATGCTTGAGTTAATATGAATTATGTTTGTTGACTGTGGAAAAGATGCATGAAAGTCTTTTTGTAACCAACTGATACACTGATACAGCATGTAAAGAAGGATGTTGTGTTTGTTTTAAATTAAAAATAAAAAAGTATTAAAAAAAGAAGGTATAGCTTTGGACGAGTTCTTTAAAAGCAGGCCCTGCATGAGGCTATGCACTTGCCGTCCCTGTCCCTCCCCTGTGGCTTCCATCACAAATCATCAATAGGAGCCCTCTCAATCCTGCAGGTTTCCTCACAAGAAGTTGCCCTCTTAAGCACAAGTTGGCAATCTTTGCTAGTGAAGTTATGTGAATTGTTGATATAATGAGTGGTGTCGGCAACTAGAGGAGCTAATAAGGTGTTTCAATGTTTTGCAATGTTGTAAGTGCCAGAGCTGATGCTGCTGACAATTGGTCTGAGTTCCCTCTCTGTAGATTTTGGGGAGTCCATATATGCATGGGGTGACATCCCCAGGGTAAACAAAGAGGGGACAAAGAGGCCATCTATGTCAAAAATGAAAAGCCCTTTCTCAACAGAGTGGGAGGGATATAACATCATCTAACTCCAGTCTACAACAAGGTCCTTTCAAAAAGTTCCAAAAATGCTCCACACCCATTTGCACCACTCATGAATTAATTAGGGCATCTTTCAGAAAGCTGACAGAGACCCTGATGACACAGATAAACCTCCAGGTGACTTTAACACCTTGCTAAAAGAATGCAAATGACCAGTCATCTGCAAGGAGTATAAATGCTTCCATTCCCCACCATCCAGTCAGAGCTGAAGAAGCTTTTTGGATGAGAAGTGAAACATCTTCAAAGAAAAACCAAAAAAAGTTAAGTTGCCCCTTGAAAAAGCATCTTTGGGACAACCATGACCTGAATGACTGAGAATCTCCATAGACATCAAACTTTTTGAGTTCACAATATGAATAAAAGTATAAGTAAGTTTTTCTTTTCTTTTGTTTCTACAGCTGATCACATACTGGGAAAAGACATTCAAGATTGACCTGTTCAAGCCACAAATTGGTGTGGTCAATGTCACCGATGTGAGTATTAGCTGGCTCATAGTTTCAGTGGCCTTAGCATTAAGGCTACTGGATCTGACTATGTGCGTCATTATGACTTTGAATGGTACCTAAATGAAAGGTTGTTAAGTCATGGACTACCTGTATTTTGCTGTGATAGTCGGCTCCTCAGTGATAGTTACCTGTCAAGGATGTATCTATTTGTCTAAACATAGATAGGCAATTTGTGATAAGAGTGAGAAACAAAAAGAGAGGTGCAGGGAAAGGGAAAGGATGTCTCCGAGAGCAGATGGGCAACATATCCTCTATTCTTGTTCTGGTTAGGGATGGGGTAATCTAGATAATCTAGTGATTATCCCAAACTTCTGGAATAATTCAAAGGAATTTTATTTTAGCACGTGCATCTTAACAATATTATAATTTAAAAAAATTATTTGCCATTTTCACTTGTTAACATATATCATATGATCATGTAGCATTACTATTTATATTTGAAAGCTTTTATAATCAGTTTATTGGGAGGAAGTGTAGGATGAAATCCACAAATGATTTTCCCTTTATTTCCAGTTTCCTAAACTCTCATTTTATAAGTAATTGGAGAAGATTTAAACATATTTTGCTCCAAAAACTCTCAGTATTCTGTGAAGAAAATGTTCACCCTTCCTTTCAGGCTGACAGTGTCTGGATGGACATCAGGGATGATGATGAACTCCCTACAGTTGAGGAATTAGAAGATTGGATAGAAGATGTGCTTTCTGGCAAAATAAACACAGAAGATGATGATATTGATGATGATGATGACGACGACGATGATGACGACGATGATGATGATTAGGTTACAGCTCGTTGAATACTGAACACCAAAATCTGTGTATCTCAAAATACTATGCCTTACAGTATTTCTCTTCTAAAGGGAAAATACTGTTCTTTTTGACTTCATAGTCTTGATCCCTTTCATTTGTCCCTTTTCCCAAATACCATCTTCACCCTTCTGGCTTCCACAATGTGAGCTCTATACCAACAGTAAGTTAGAAATTATTACTATTTAATTGTGTAAGCTCAGTGTTTATGCTCCCTGCAGGAAACTTTAAATCTATGAATATGTTTATTCATAAGAATAAGAGAAAATAAAGAATTACATGAGTTATCAAGGACATTTCTACCCTACACTACTCCCAACAGAATGGCTTGCGAAATCAAGGTGTAGAAAAGGGAAATAGTGGGGAACAATAGGCCTTTTCTCCCTGTTCTTCTATCCTTGGGATTATGGGCTCATGTTTTCTCCACATGCCATCTGTGGAGGACATGTTCTCTACAATGGAATGTCAGCCTTTGAGCCAAACTATTCTTGAAGTTTATTGTTTTCCCCTTTCCTGCTACTTGTTTCCCTGACAGCGACAGAAGAAATGATCCCCCAACTTTGATGGACTTATTGCTGAGATTCAGTAAGAGGAACCCTGTGTGGTAGCACTTTTCCAAATGGCATACTTTCTTCCCATCTTGGGAGATCACAGGAAAACACATGTGGTGGATGTGGGGAAGAGTCCAGTTGGCTTTCTTTTGGAAAGACTTCCATCTATTCTCCAAACGGGTCTAGGATAATTTGCCACAGCCAACTCACCACAGCCATCCATGCAATTCCATGCCAGATAACTCAATGCAAGAAACATGATCTTTGACATTATTTCCACTGACAAAGCTGGAAATAATGTTGGAGAAACAGTGGTGGATAACATTTATTATATTGAGTTATTCCACGTGGAATTTTCCATAGTGAATTGTCCCATGGCAAGTTGGCCATGACCAGATGGCTGGGGCAAATTGCCCCATTCTACTACAAACACCAGAAGGAAAGAACTGGGGAATCGCCAGTAGTGTCTGATGTTGAAATTGCTTGGTTCAGAATATGTATTTCCCGTACTTTGTAATGCTTATGTTCTATTCTTGGCTCCTGTTCAATTGAAATGTAAAAATAAATTCTGATTGGACTAATGCAGGATTTCATTTCATCTTGCCTCATTTCTTGCTTACCAATACTCAGTCTGCAATAAAACTATTTGTGCCATCCATCACTGTCCTGTTTTCTAGAAACTGATATCCAAGTTTCCTCCCCCATAATCGAAAGATGATTAACCAATGTGAAATTACTCTGCATAGATAATTGTTCTGACCCCCCTTCTTCGCTCGTTCACAGACAACAGTCAGACAGACTTAAAAGGAAATAACTTTATCAGTCCTCGGCTCAGCCTGGCTGCGAGCCCAAAATAAACATAAATAAAGTCTCTGGCAAGAAGATAACAGAATGCAAAAACAAAGATCTCTTAC